TGCTATTCCTACACGTCTTCGTGATACAATTTTTTCTATTCTCATTAATGAATCACGTGACGCATCAACAAAAGAACAACCGGTTGTTGCATTGCGATTTGTGGATTAGAAGGGACATGTAGTTGAACAAATTTTAGATATTGAACATGTTACTAATACCAGTGCTCTCTCATTTAAGGCAACAGTAGAAGACTTCTGTGCTAGACATGGGTTAAGCTTGTCAAAATTGTGTGGGCAAAGTTACGATGGGGTTAGTAATATGCGAGATGAGTTCAATGGTTTCAAGAATGCGCATATTATGTCCATTATTTTTTTCATCAATTGCAGTTGGCTTTGTAGCCTTGACAAAGAATCATATTCAAATTGCAAATCTATTCAACTTGTTTGCTAATATTGTGAATGTTGTAGGAGCCTCATGTAAATGACGAGATATTTTTAGGAAAAAAAAAACGACTATAATTATTGAATTACTCAACAATGAGGAGTTTCGAAGTGGACGAGACCTAAATTAGGAAATTAATCTTAAACGTGCTTATGATACACATTGGGGGATCACATTATAATACTCTGATTTGCTAGATTGATATGTTTTCATTAATAATTGATGTACTTGATATGATTTCAGAGGATGACATAAATGCAAAATAAAGAAGGAAAATAAATATTCTTTTGGATTTGTTGCAAACCTTTGAATTTATATGCAATCTTCATTTGGTAAGAAGCATATTGGGGATCATTTATAATTTGTCACAGGCAGTACACAGGAAAGATCAAGATATTGTGAATGTCATAACATTAGTTCAAGTATTGAAACAACGACTTCGAATGATGAGAGAAAGTGGTTGAAATTATTTTCTTGATGATGTCTTATCTTATTATGAAAAATATGACATAATTGTTCCAGATATAGATAATATATTTAAAACTCGAGGGAGGTCAAGGTGTACTTAAAAAACAACAAATTTTCAACATTAGCAAGTCGGGTTATTTTATATTGTCATAGATTTGCAATTTTAAGAGCTAAATAACCACTTTACTAAGTCAAACACTGAGTTGTTTCTTTGTGTGACATGTTTGAGTCTTTTTTATTCCTTCTCTACTTTTGAAAAGGAAAAATTGGTGCGTTTTGCTCAACTTTATCCGAAAGAATTTTCTTCACTATAACTCATGATACTTTTTGATCAGCTGGATAGTTATGTTATTGATACACATTCTAATATTGAGTTTTTAAATTTGTTAGGGGTTAGTGAACTTGTCAGTTGCGAATGCTATAGTAGAGAGAACATTTTCGACTATGAAGAATTGCGAAGAATCAGTGGCTAGTCAAATGAGTGATAATTGGATGACAAATAACTTGATTTGTACATAGAGAATGACATTTTTGATTGCATTGAAAATGAAGTTATCATGCAATGTTTTCAAAATATGAAACCCGTCGGTATATAATTTTCAACCCTAATCTTAACCATACCTTAACTTGAGGTACTCAATCCAAGTATTGCCAAAGTTAAATTTGGGTAGGTTCGAGTTGAATTCGGATTACTTAATTTGAGTTGATCTCGAATTAGAATCTGAGTTACTTAATTCGGGTTAGAATTTGAGTTACTTACTTCGGGTTGGAATTAGTCTCTTTTTATAAACTTGGTACATCAAATATACCACAAGAAAATTAAATCAAAACACCACATCCACTGACCACTACCATAATAAATTTTACAAAATCTGAAAATGAACCACTCCACTCCCACAACCATTGCCCAGTGCAAAATCTGAAAATGAAGTTTTACAAAATATGAAAGATCGATGAAGGTCTGAGAGGCACAAATCTAATGAAGGTCTTCGCTTAAAGGCGCAAATCTAAGAAATCAAGAGTGAGGCGTAGATCTGAGTGGCGCAGACGAAAGTCTTTGGTCAACCATGAGGGAGGCATCTGAGAGGGGGAGGTTTAGAGAAGGAGACGTCTGAGAGAGGCTGAGAGAGTGAGGGTCAGAGTGAGGGACGCAACGACTGAAGACTGAACCTAGTTGATTTTTTAAATATGTTTGGGTTGATCCCAACGTAATATTCGGGTTTGATACCGATTTATATATTCAGGTTGAAGTTGGCAACTAGATGCTTCAACCTAGATACTGATTCGGGTTGATTTTTTTTTTCCCAGACCTAAACAAAGTATTAAAAATTTTAATACAAAAATTTTTTTTTTAAATTTGAGTTCAAATTAACCCGCTCAAATTACACGCCTGACCGTAAAAGAGGTAATGGGGAGAGGATAGACTTTTTAACTTATCCAACTTGATCCCAAATTTAACCCATCACCCAAGTGGGTTACAATACTAAGTAATAGGGGTGTTCACCCTACCCTACAGATAGAAAATATAGTTTTTCGTCTTCTTATCCGATATTTTGCGAATTTTTTTTTTTAGCCTACCCTACTCAATCAGGTGTGGTATTCATACCCGACTTTCTACTTGATTAATCGGGTAGAAAGTCGGGTAGGAAATCGGGTAAACACTTTTGTAACTATTAATTTTTCAATCATTTTAACAATTCAATTAAATAACATGCATAAATTTAACAACACAATAAATCAATAACACTAACTAAAATCTAAAATAACTACAACAACAATTACAATAAAATACAATAAAGCATGAACATCAATCCATCATAATTGTTACACAAATACAATAACAATTATTTTAAGTTTAAACCATATGAAACACATTAAAATTATAACTGCTCTAATAGATCACCAGTTCACCACAAATCATGTAACATACACAAAAAAATAAGTTCATGTTTTAGCAACTCAAACATCCACAAACAATAATAATATTATAATATAAATTATACCACATAAATACTCTTATAATTACTAAAAAAAATAAAAAATTTAAATATATTTTTTTCGGTAGGGTAGGGTAAGAATGCGAAAATTGATGAGTATTCTGCATTCCTATCTGATTTAATCGGAAGACCAAAAACTCTTTAGCATTCCTACCCCAATTTGTCGTTCAATAGGGTAGGGTAGGGTAGGGTAGGGTAGGGTCAGATAGGGTAGAAAATTACGGTCAAACGAAAATTTGAATACCCTGCTAAGTAAGTTTGTCTGAGTAATTGTGATAGATAAATTGATCTTAGCCTGATCTATTTGTTAATTGTGTCACTTTCAAATTAACACGTATAATTAACGAATCTAAAATCCACAATCAGTGCTCCTTTCCCCTCTCAAGTAGATTGGCAACTCATAAACTTTTCGCAAACTAAAAAATCACTCGTTTGAGACGTTTACCTAATTTTTTTTAATTGTATAAGTATTCACTTAATACTAGATCAAGAAATAAAAAAAAATCAAATGAAATTATTAAAAAAAATTATATTTTATCGACCACTTGTGTTTGGCGTATTAAAATAAAATTATTCATGTGTAACATTAATCTTTTCCATTCATGACACGTGTTAGAAATATATCAATTTTTAGTTTGTGTTGAAAATTTGTTAATCATAACTTACTAATTTTATATTAAGTTAATGTCTTATTAATTGGATGCAAAGGCCAATTATTTTATGGTCTAAAACTTATATTGGATCCTATTAAACCACATAGGAATTCTCACCCTTTTGCCTAATAAGCAAAGTAGGTGGGTTTTTATACATTAAAAATATAATTATCAGATAGACGATGACTTTCATTCGTGTTCCGTCTTCCTTGTTCATTTGTTTGTATATGCTTATATTTCTCATATAAAAGAAATAATTTATTAGAAAAGTAGAAAAAAAAAAGTTTACTAATGTTGGCTTATTACCAAAAACCTTGTTTATTATAGGAGTGGGACCGAGTGTGGTGGATAAACAAATGTGACGGTGGATGGATATTGTAAGTGCTCCTCTCCTCATTTCTATTAGGCAATCATGTCAACTTTGACTAATGCGAAATTGATGATTTCATATCGCCCTCACCACAATAATAGTCTTGTTCTCTTTAATTTGCATTAAGTTTAAATAATATCTTCTTAAAATTTATTTATTGTACTATATAACCAAAGTTTTATATTGTAGGATTCAAACACGAGCGAGAATAAAACATTGAACATCTGAGTTTATTATTCATCTTACCACTTAGTTAACCGTTAGTTAACCGTGTTTCAAACAAGATTTCAAGTTTTTTCCTAAAATGGAAAAAAAAAAAAAAAAAGAACGGGTTAAGTCAATTAGGAGGGTATTATAAAAACAAAATGTAGGGAGTTTCAGTAAATAGGTACATATAATATTGGGCAGTATAGTAAATTCAGTTGGAATGAGATCTGCGCCTTGTCGCAAAGTCATTATCAACGAGATTTGTGAAAGTGATTTTTTTTTTTATAATTTTATACGACGAAATCATTATATATATATATTTCTATACAATAAGAAAACATAAAAACAATACAATTGGTTGGGATTCCTCAGTTTAAACTCTCTCTCTCTCTCTCTCTTCGCATACACAAATTTTAGAGAGAGACCATAGGGAGTGAGAAAGCATATCTCTCTACTCTGCCCTGATCTCATCGAATTCGAATGCGCTCACTTTTCCAACAAATTACAGAAAAGTCCAACTTCATCAGCTACACTTGTAAGCTTGGGCCTTGTTAATGTCCAAGAATAGCTTCAAGAAAACAAGACGACGAAAAGTAAAGGGAGAAAATAGCCAAACGGGTAATGGTGAAAAAATGTATCTTTAGTGTTAGAGAGAGAGAGAGAGAGAGAGAGAGAGAGAGAGAGAGAGAGAGAGAAGGAGGAAGTAATAGTTTAAGGTATAAGGGGGACAAAGGCGTATCTGCAAAAATCCTCAAATTCGATTCAGTTGATTTAAATATTAAGGTAAATAAGATATTTGATATCTCTATCATTAAAAAAATACTTGAATCCACAAGGCTCAGAGGCAAGACCAACATAGCCACATACAGTTCATTGTATACCAAAACAGGTTGGCTTTTAGTATTTGTTTTGTTTCTCTCTTTCTATACTCTCTTGGCCAGTTGTGTGTATGTGTGTGCGTTTTTGGTGGTCAATCTCTTGGTTTCGTTGCAGTATTTTATGTGGGATGAACAGAGAGAACAGTGAACGTGCTCTTCTTTGTCTGGACTCTTCAACTCAACTTCAGGCTTGCAGATAAATAGAGAGAGGGCATGATTAGAGTTCTTGTCATTTTTTATTCCATTCAAATGCTCATCAGCCCCATTGAAGCATATCATTAGAGAGAAAAAGAGGGTTTTCCTTTGGAATTTGGACTGTGTCCACCTTTTGAGGGCTGCAACAAAGCCATGCTTGTTCGATGATGGAAGTGAGAAACTTTTCTTTTTGGGTTTCTCTTCTCTCTCCATTCCCTTCTCTCTGAAATGCAGAGAGAGAAAGAGAGAGAGAGAAAATGTTTGTGTGTTCATTTCTCTAGATGGGTTTTGGGTATCTGATAATTTGAGTCCCGAAAAACAATGCTGTGATGATGATTTACTTTGAGTCCAGAGGGTACCTTTTTCTTTGTGTGGCTTAAAAAGTGCCAGTCTTTTGGAGAAAGTTACACTAATAGCTCATGAGAGGATATGTGTTTTCTTGGATCTTTGGTTTTTAGCTTGGAGATCAAGTGGGAGAGAGTGGTAGAAGAAGAAGAGAGAGAACAGAGAGCAGCAGCAGAGGAAGCATTGCGTTGATGGGTGTTAAGAATCAAAGCCACCACATGGTGGCTGTGAGGCTGAATGAGCAATCGGGCACAAAGAGAAAGAATACATTTATCAACAGATTTTGGCTCCCAAAACTTATTGTCCTTTGGATTTTATTTGTGGTGTTTGTTAATGGAATAATCTACACTAGAATGGATGCTGGTAACAAGGAGAGATGGAAGGATGTCCTTGTGAGCATGTGTGATCAAAGGGCTAGGATGTTACAAGATCAATTTAGTGTTAGTGTTAACCATGTCCATGCCCTTGCAATCCTTGTCTCTACTTTTCATCATTACAAGAACCCATCAGCAATTGATCAGGTTTGTGCTTAAATATGTTATCGCGCTTTGAATTTTGGTGCATAACTTCTTTTATCTCTCTCTATTTTACTTATTTATGTTATAATGGGCTTTGTTTTTTTGTGCCTATTTGGCTGATTTGTGCTATTGGGTTTTGATAATTGTTGTTCAAATGTTTGTGTTCTTTGTGAACTTTCTGATTGTTGTCCCGTTTGGGTATGGTTTATTGCAAGCAATGCAGGAAACTTTTGCTGAGTACACGAAAAAAACAGCTTTTGAGAGGCCTTTGTTGAGTGGAGTGGCATATGCACAAAGGGTTGTGAATTCGGAAAGGCAAGAATTTGAGAGGCAACATGAGTGGACCATAAGGACAATGGAGAGACAAACTTCACCTACCCGGGATGAGTATGCCCCAGTGATATTCTCTCAAGAAACTGTTTCCTACATTGAATCGCTAGATATGATGTCAGGGGAGGTAATTTTTTGATTTTATTCATTGTATGATTTTTCTTTCTGTTTTTTTTTTTTGTGAAGTTTGCTTAGTTATATGTTTAGGTCAAATGAGTGTTTCATTTCTATCTGTCTATATTTTCCTCTGCTTGATGCAGGAGGACCGCGAAAACATTTTGAGGGCTAGGACTACTGGAAAAGCAGTTCTTACAAGCCCTTTTAGGCTGCTGGGTTCTCAGCATCTTGGGGTTGTGTTGACATTCCCTGTGTACAAATCCAAGCTTTCCGAAAACCCAACAGAGGAAGAACGCATTCAGGCAACTGCAGGGTAAGAGTTAGCGTTTGCCTTTCACATACGATATTTGTTTGTATCAAGTTTCTGTTTGGAACATTTCATGGCCGGTTTGGAGATTTTTGTTATTCATTCCATACAATTTCATATACATGTTCAATCTAGAATGGAATTTCATGGGTCAACTAGATTATCTGCAAATAGCAATTGAAAAATTCCTAGGAGAAGATATTTAAGAAACTTTATATTGGACTACTATTGCAACTTCTGTTGGATTAATTTTGAACTAGAAAGCACGGATACGGATACGCAATATGAGTACGATACGATACGGATACAGCGATACAACAAAACTTAAAAAAAAGAATACGGGTACGGTTAGGATACGTCTATTATAAAATATATTTTACTATTATTTAACAACTTAAAAATTATAATTTTTCAATAATTCTTTAACATTGGAAAGTAAAATTAAGAATTTTTACCCTGAAAAAGGTGTAATATCATCTCATTATGATATTTTCATAAAATAAGTATGACCAATTGAAGGAATCATAACCACATTTAAATAGTTGGTTTGTTTACAAGTATTTATTTTTAAAATTATAGTGTAAATGACTATTTTTTTTTATACTCTCCTAGCATATAATAATAGATAATAGATAATATTTAAAAAACACTCATGTCTTCAAAATCAGGTGGAACTTTGTTGATGTTTTATATTATATGTGAACTCCAAAGAAGGGGGTATAACTTAAAATTGAAAATTGTACATCTTGCTCTATGTCTATGTTTAGAAGTATCCACGTGTTTTATTAATTATCGGATATGGATGATGCGTATCTAACACGTATCATCGAGTATTACACACTAAATATCAGTATTGTGAAATAGAGTTTTAAGTCACATTATTTTTTCTCTGCTTTTCTTGTACTCTTAGCTGAATGTTCTGCAGCTAAAACATTTCTTGATTCTTGAGAGCTCCTTGTGCCAGTTCCTCTTTTAGCAATTACCTTAGTGTTCTAGTGAAATCACATGATAGAAAAAAAATTGATGTTGGTGAGACAGTTTTAGTGATTTTGGGCTTGGACATGGGCTTCTCTTTATCTAGTTCACTATTTCTTTTCCCTTTTCATTCCAGAATGCACGACTTCTTAAGCTCAATATTGCCACATTGCTGAATGTGAAAACACTAACATCGGGCAATTCTCATTCTGAAGCTATAAGCCCAAGCTTACTTCCCTCTTGTCTGGGTTTTTCGTGGGATTTTAGGAATGTTTTAAATTTCTTTTTTCTTTTTAAATATTGATCTGTGCTTAAGGCCACCTGTTTTATAACCAGTAATACTTGCAATGCTAAATGGTGGTACTGCAAAATGCTTCATTTTTTTTTATTAAATGGAGTGATGTTTACACTTCTATTCAGATGCTAGGGGGAAAACAACCTTTCTTGCTGATGTTATCAAACACCCATTTGAAATTGATTTGTCTTCTGGGTACATCCTGTTAGTTCTCAACCCAACATTCATGCTGTTTTTTGCTTCCTCTGTATGTGTTTGCAGTCTGTTAGAACTAATTTAGTTCTCTTGTGGCTATGTTGGCCATTGTTTGTATGTTGATATGTTTTGAGAATTCCAAGTGATTCAAATATTTTGCCCATTATACTTCTGGAAGGAATAGAATATGATTTCTGCATATTTGTTTATAAGTGCTTGGAATTTTGGCAAAGGTTACAGTATGAGGTTGTGGAAGTCTATCGATGGTTAGAAAGTAGAATCAAGGAACCCTCACTGTTTACTGTTTGATGTTTTTTCTCTATGTGGATCTCTTTCGCTAAATTCTGGATATGGCTAAAGAAGTTCTCATTTGGAAACAGATACCTTGGTGGAGCCTTTGATGTTGAGTCTCTTGTTGAAAACTTACTTGGACAACTTGCTGGGAATCATGAAATTGTGGTTAATGTATACGACATCACTAACTCTTCCGATCCCTTAGTCATGTATGGACATCAATATCAAGACGGTGACATGTCCCTCAAGCGTGTGAACATGCTCGACTTTGGGGATCCATTTCGGAAGCACCAAATGATATGCAGGTTAGTGCACCTGTGTTTTTTCTCAGTCCAAAAGCAAAGATTCAAGAATTCTGCAAGTGCATATGGCCAGTGATTTTATTCTAGCAACGATATCAAAGTTCTCGAGGTTGAACTTATAAATGCTAATGATTGATGTACTTGGCAGGTATCTTCAGAAGGCACCTACATCTTGGACAGCGATCACCACTGTAGTCTTATTCTTTGTGATTGGTTTCTTAGTTGGCTATATGATGTATACTACATTAATTCACATTGTCGAAGTTGAAGAGGATCGTGACAAAATGGAGCAATTGAAAGTCCAGGCAGAAGCAGCTGATGTCGCTAAATCCCAGGTTTCATGCCAAACCTGTTCTGAAAGCTCCATTTTATTCTAACATCAAAGTTCTACTTGTTATCTGAACTTTTGTTTGTTTTTTAATGCCAGTTTCTAGCTATTGTGTCTCATGAAATCAGAACTCCCATGAATGGCATCCTTGGTAGGTCCTGGATCATGTCTTAGTTTTCAAGTTTACGGATGTCTGGAACTTAAATTGCACCTAGTCAGCAAATTCCATCTATTTACATGCTTCATTCCAGGGATGCTTGCTCTGCTTTTGGATACGGAATTGAGTTCAACCCAAAAAGACTATGCCCAAACTGCCCAAGCCTGTGGAAAGGCATTGATAACCATAATTAATGAAGTGCTTGACAGAGCAAAAATTGAAGCTCGCAAGTTAGAGCTGGAGACAGTCCCATTCAACCTTCGATCCATTCTAGATGATGTCCTCTCTTTATTTTCTGAGAAATCTAGGCACAGAGGTGTTGAGGTAAAGTCTACTAAACTGCAATAAGATTGACCAATCATATCCATTCAACTATTGTTGGCCATTACTTCTAATGCTAAGGGCCTCAAAACATTTGCTATGAATTGTGGATTTCTTTTATTTTTTTCTTTTCGGATATTCCTTGTTGTGGCTATGCCCGTCAACGGATTGGATATGGACCGGATTCTGTCATATCTGAATCCGATTACAATTTAAGTGATCCGATCCGATTATCTGACGGATTTGAAATTTGTAATCTATATCTGAATCCATTAACTTTTAGATATCCGGTCCGAAAATTCGATCCGATTTGTTTATGTACAAAATAAAGTCAACCCACAAATATCTCACAAATTGTAACAAATTCAACTCCGTACAACAAAAAAATTATAATGCTTACTCATTTGAAGCCTTAACAAGCAACGTAAATTAAATAAATCAACCTCAATTTTAGTTATAAATAGTGAAGAAGACAAAAGGAAAAAAATGGGGGAGATGAAAAGATGTTGATGGATATAAACTCACGGGATATAAAATATAAAAATAGAAGGTATATATACAATTCGGGTTGGATTGTTAACGGATCGGATTTGATAAATTTATATCTGAATCCATTAAATATAATATAACGGATTCGGATTCGGATAATTGGTAAAAATTATTAATCCATATCTGGCTAATCGGATTCGGATCAAAATCCGATTCATTGACTGACCTAGTTGTGGCATTGATTTATTGCGCTTGAACTAACTTTCGGCTTTTCTTCTTATGCTTCCATTTTTGCCTTTTCTCCCCGCCTTTCTGCTGGTTCTATTCAATGACTGGTGGCCTTCATGATGCATTCAAAATTGATCTTCTTGACACAAACCTGTACAATCCATTGTGCAAGTGAAGCTAGCCTTATTTGTTTCTGATAAAGTTCCAGAAATCGTTATGGGGGATCCAGGAAGATTCCGACAGGTCATCACAAATCTTGTGGGCAACTCTGTCAAAGTAAGTATGCGAGTGCTGCTAGTTTCACCATATTATGGGAACGAATTGTGTTTGAAGTGTTATTTTTGGTTAAATAGTCCATTGTGTCGGAGCCTGATGTATTTAAGCTTAGCCCCTATTCCCTTCCTCCACAAACAAAATAAGAAATCAATGAATTAGTGGCTTTTGTTTTTGCTTCTTTAACTTTTCTGTCAAATCTCGACTAATAAAATGATCTGTCCCTTTACTATTAACTATACTGGCACACTTCTACACATGTTCCATGCTCACAAGATTCAGCTTTTGACATGACAGTTCACTGAGCGGGGACATATATTTGTTCAAGTCCATCTTGCTGAACTTGCTAAAGCTGTAATGGATGCAAAACCCGAAACCTGCCTGAATGGAGCTTCTGAAGGTATAGTTCGATCTGGTGGTTGTCAGTTTAAAACCTTAAGTGGTTCTGAAGCTGCTGATGATCGGAATAGTTGGGATACCTTTAAGCGTTTAATTGCTGAAGAAGAGTTCCGATACAATACCTCTAACAGAGTGATGAATACTGATGAAGCTTCCCAGGATGTCACATTGATGGTATGTGTTGAAGATACAGGTATTGGGATTCCTTTACATGCGCAGGAGGGGGTTTTCACGCCGTTCATGCAGGCAGACAGTTCAACTTCTAGAACTTATGGAGGAACTGGTATTGGACTGAGTATTAGCAAGTGTTTGGTTGAGCTGATGGGCGGTCAAATAAACTTCATTAGTCGTCCTCAAGTTGGTAGCACTTTCTCATTCACTGCTGTCTTTAGAAAGTGCGAGAAAGATGCAGTTGGTGATCTGAAAAAATCTCTCTCTGATGTTTTGCCTACGTCATTTAAAGGATTTAAAGCAATTTTAGTTGATGGAAAGCCTGTTAGAGCTGCTGTAACTACATACCATCTGAAGAGACTTGGACTCCTTGTTGAAGCTGTAAGTAGCATGAGGATGGTAGTCGCTGTAAATGGCAAAAATGGTTCCATTAGAATAAAGTAAGCATTTTTCTTTGTGTTCCTTTTCCATCACTCATTTACCTTTATTTTACTTATAGGATGCAAATTCAAAGTTTTGGAAAGTTGCTAAGTCAAACTTTCACTTTTGTGCCAGTGCTGGAATTTTTATTGTTGATATCATTCTTAGGCCAAATTCTGGCGCAATCCATGCTATTGCCCTTTTGTGCCTCTGCTTATAATATCAGATGGGGGAGACTTCATTATATGGGCAATGAGTACTTCTGGTTTTGCTGGGCAATGGGCTGTGAGTACAATCTTTCTAGGCCCGTGCCCGAAATGCATTCAGTGTTTATACCGGGCTATCCCTATAGTGTATTCCGACATGCATTTCATGTACTTTGAATGAAGTGAATTTAATTTCTTTACAAATTTGACTTTAGTATAACTCTCTCCCGACCCTGAGGTGGCGGGACGCTGTTGCACGGGTTTTCTTTTTGTTATTGATTTGTCATTGGTTTGTTATCCTTGAAAGTTTGCATGCTATTTTTTTCGACCTTAGTTACCGCAGTTCTATATTTCTATAGAGATATTCTCGGTGGACAAATTCTTTTGTGTTTGAGTTTCAATATTTATTTCTATTATTATATTTTCTACATTTACACCTACTATCCTAATGGAAAAATGGGGTTTGCGACTCTGCACTCAAAGCATGGAGTCTGTTGCTTTTTAGTAGAGATTTTGAGAAATTGGGGAGCAATTCCTTCTGGATTATTTCCCCACTTTTCTTGTTGCTCTTTTACCCCACAAAATGAGCGCACTCACAATTTTATGGCATCTAATACAGATTTCAAAAGAAAGTATCACACTAATTTTTATCACCCTAGAACTGCAACTGCTTGTGATGCCATCAAACATATCTCACCATCCCAAGATTAGTACTTATCATAAACAGAGAAAAGGCAGTATTTTCAACACAATCACTCAAAACCCTTCAGTTTGACTCACAGACTATGTTAAATATAAGCTTTATGTGCAAGGGAAGTCTCTAATCTAATTGCTATTAGTTTGTATGGAGTCCCTAACTGAAGTTTTATGGGTGTGTACCGAATTTTTTTTCCCAAAAGACAAATCTCAAAGAAGTTTCCGAAAAATATATCTTTAAGAATCTTATAGAGACAAGATTTAGGAGGGATTAAGCTATCCAATATGTACATGCTTATTGTACTTCATGGTTGATATATTGCATTTTCTCATGGCAGAAACGTAAGGCAACCAGATATGATTCTGGTTGAGAAGGATTCATGGATATCTGGGGAAGATGGTGGCTTGAGTATACGGCTATTGGACTGGAAACAGAATGGCCAGACCTTAAAACTGCCTAAGCTGATACTTCTTGCAACCAATATTACGGGTGCTGAGTTTGACAAAGCAAAAGCCGCAGGTTTTGCGGAGACTGTGATCATGAAACCTTTGAGAGCAAGTATGGTGGCAGCATGCCTTCAGCAGGTATTGGGAGTGGGAAGGAAGCCACAACAGGGGAAAGATGTGCTTAATGGATCTGCTTTCCTTCGTAGCCTTCTTTGTGGCAAGAAGATTCTGGTGGTTGATGACAATTTGGTAAACCGCAGAGTTGCTGCTGGTGCACTCAAGAAGTTTGGGGCTGATGTAGAGTGTGCTGATAGTGGTAAAGCTGCTCTTTCTTTGCTTCAGTTACCCCACAATTTTGATGCCTGCTTCATGGATATTCAGATGCCGGAAATGGATGGGTATGTTTTAAACCTTTCTTTATCTTGATTTATTGATATGCAGTTCATATTTTATTTCCTTGAAGAATCATTAGATTTCTACTTAAGAACTGGAAATTGTCAATTTTTTATAGATTATCTACATTTTACACTGTTGCGGCTTTAGACTTCTTTTATATGTTCTTTTAGGTTTATTCTGTAATATTGAAGATAATTTAAGAATCATTTTGGTAACCGTACACGTAATATGGGGATTTGGAGATGCATTATCATAGTGCACGGATACTATAGTGTTATGTTTTTTCACTGTCTTATATGACATCTGTTAGTAGATTATCTGGTCCCATTTTGATTAAAGCATATTTTTTCCTGACACTGAGGATTTCTCTTTCTGTACATTAAAAATGCAATTCGGGATCTAATGGAACACATTCCTTCAAAAATGTTATTATTTTATTATTTATGGAAATGTAACTAGAAATTATATGAGAGTCATCCACACTTGTGGTATGGAGGCCAAATAGTCTGCTCCACTTGTGCTTCTGCTTTTGATGGGAAGGTGGAAGCTTAGCACGGTTTGGATTATCCTACCAGGTTCTTCGAGTCCCACATGAGCACATACTGTCCTACGGTATGGATTGTGGTGACTGAGTCACACGTCACGTGGAGAAGTGTCTGTGAGCTTTGAGCATCCAATGATTTATGCGTTTTATAACTGAGCGTAGCCCAAAACAATCACTATTGAACAATACTGGCCTAGGGTATTGCATATGTTCTTGTAATTTTATTTTTTTTTATTGGCTGTCTTAACTGAAAATGCATTTTTTGTGTGTTGGGGTTGTTTTTTTTTTTTTTTTTTTTTGGGGGGGGGGGGGGGGTTGTCATCTTGGTTATTCTTGGATGCTAACGATTTAAGATGGATGCCAAGTACTTGATATTTGTGTTTTACTGTTCTGTTTGTATTTTGCCACACTTGCATATGCCTCCTAGTGTTGTTTATCATTCCATACTTATTCTCACTTGACAAATGAGAAATGAACCTCTGTGGTAATGCTCATATTGATATTTGGTTTCCTTCCTGCTTGGCATTCCTAATTGCATCGTATGATCCTCCCCCTCACACACTCCCCAAAACCAAAAGAAAAACCACCTCTTCCTTTTCCTGTGTGATGCTCGTAGATGAGAATGGGTGTCATGGACATATTTGTGAAAGTATTGTCTCTGGACAAATTACCAGCATTCCACGATTTGTTCATTACAGCAAATCTTAAAAATTGAGATCGGCTGCAAGAATCCATTTTGCCTCTCAATGTGTAGTGGGTGGTGGGACTGCAACTGTTTAACCCACTGGATAGTTTCCCAGTCTAACTTCAATTTTGTGTACAGTAAAAGCTTGTTTAGTTGCCAATTATTTTGAAGGTAGCCACAATGTACCGAGACTTTGTAGACAAACATCTAATTTCTTACTGTGTTCCCCCTACCCTGCTTCTTATGCAGCTTTGAGGCAACTCGTCATATCCGGATGATGGAGAGCACAGCAAATGAGCAAATGAATGGAGGTTGCACCATTGAAGGAACTGCAAGAAAGGCAAAGTGGCATGTGCCTGTATTAGCTATGACAGCTGATGTAATTCATGCCACATATGATGAATGTCTGAAATGTGGGATGGATGGTTATGTATCGAAGCCCTTTGAGGAAGAGAATCTCTATCAGGCTGTTTCCAAGTTTTTTGAATCCAAAACCATCTCGGATTCATAAAGCTTTTCATCTGATCACCTGGGAACCTTTGAATTAGAAAAGCGCTAGAGGGTCAACCAGTACCAGCATTTTTCCATATTCTGCTGGTGTGTTTAGTTTAATAGTCCAATTACAAAGAAGGTGGCGGCTCTCTTTGAATCCCCATGGTTGTTGACTGGCATGGGTACAGCTTTGGACAAACCTGTCAGGAAGGTGTGAAGAAGAAAGGGATCGAAAGTTAATTCTAACCAACTTCTAGTTTACTTTATTAGCTTCTGTAATACATGTATACTCTACAGAACTCCCATCCCATCCCATCCCATCCCCACTTGTATGTACAGATCTCTGGGAGGGGAGAGGGGGGTAAAGGTGTATAATCTGATTTTCTTGTATGGGGTTCATTACACTTGGCTATTGAGAAGCTTGCCCTAATAGATTGAGTTGTAACATTGTCTTCCTCAAGACTACCTGTTTTCTTTGTAAGGCCAAGAAACTTTTGGTACAACTGCTACGTCAACTGGCATTGATTTTCAGTTGTGTATTGGAGCCATTATTTGTACTAAATTTCAATGCAATTTGATTGAGTTTCAAAATATTTTTACTAAATAGGTATTGTGACTTAGAAATAAGAGTATAAATGAAAAAACTTAAGCCAATTAGTGGGTTGCTTAAACATGGTTTGAAATTCACATGAGCTCTTAGTAAGTTCAATATAATTACATATAAGGGAAAATTGTGAAAAGTTATACCATTTCTTACTTATTTATGTAAAAGTATCTCTATAAAAACATGTGTATAAGTATCTTTGTGTGTAAATGTTTAGTGAGGAGATATACTTTTGTTACTTTTAAAATTTTCTTTTATGGATTTGCCATTTTCTTTTATTAATGGAAGACAATCTAGCAGTTATATTAGAGATTCAATTTCTTAAATTTATAGAATAACATTTTTGAATTTTAAATTATATCTTCCTTTTTCATTCTATTGAAGTTATTCAGACATTCATTTTTATTCAACATTCATGTCTTCCCCATATTTTTATAATTTTTTTTTGATTTTTTTATAAATTGAAATGAGGAATATATATTTTACCTCATATAATACCATTGGTTGTTATGGTGGATTTTTTCATGGATATTTTAAATTTAAATTTATATGTATGTTATTCGATGTGTTTATAAGTAACATGATACATGTCGCATTGACACAGTGGTATACAACAATGTCACAGTACTACAACCCAATGTCACACTGCTACAAAACATGTCACGTGCATACATTGACATGACACAAGAACAATGCACATCATAAATAACTAAATTTAATGTAAATAAGATTACATAGTATCACAAACAATAAAAAGATGGTGAATTGTGTTTGTGGG